GTGATACCAACATCATAGTATTAGCTGCAAGTGCAACTAATACATATCAAGAGGAGCTACTAACCATAAAACAATTTTTCAATCCTGGACAGGAGGAAAGAGTGGGGCAGGGGGGTCATTACATCAGATGCTTGCAAAACTCGGGACACAGAAGAACACGTAACTAAATCTATTTGCACATAAAACATCCAATATCGTTAAAACTAACATTATGACAAAAAATTTGTACATGCGTTAAGACAGATGCTGAAATCGACATTCAACAAAACAAATTAGCCAAAAATATCATGAGTTTAGAGCATTTGAACTAGAAATCACTGGTCTGTCTCTAAAAACCCTTATTGCCTTTAAAACAAGGGGAGGAGTTCAAACAAGATTTGACACAGTATGTGTCATCAATTCCCTGAATAATAGCACAGGCATTGAGTTTGGTCTCCATCAAAACACAGTTTTCTCTTGACCTTATAAATCTAGTTTGGCTAAAGCCATTTCATACTTAAAACTCAAAATGCCGACACATCAGCATCCATCGCAATAAAAAAAATATAAAAAAAGAGGTCCAAATGTAGCAATTGCATGGAGCCAAGCTTGTAGCACAGTGTTAAGTCAGTTTGTACTATGGATAGCCAGCTTTCAATGGGCGTGCCGAAGCAGGGTTCTATCCGTACTCTTGAGCTCCGTGACCCTGGTTGACCTGATTCATGCGCTCCATGATCCTTGTTAACCAGATTAATGAATTCTTTGACCAGAGTTGACATGATTCATATGATGAAACTATGATTGACCTGAATATTAATCAGCAACTTTGACCCAAGAACTCCAAAATCTAGTTGACAGGACTTTTTGAGCTATGGCTGTATTTACATATTTTCTAATGGTTTTAAATACCAACCTGCCAAGCACTGTTAGAGGGCTGTTTTCAATAATATTTTACTCATAATGTACAAAGACAAAAGTGTTAGGTAATCTACTCATCGGATCATGCATGAATAAAGGCTCATGAATCACGGATTCAGATAACCGGGGTCTGCCTCCCTGCAACGAGCCTTACGTACACAGATGAGAAATATGTCTTTATAAATATCAATAAACATAATTACAGTAATGATACACATCTGAGAAATATAGACTCTGAAAATAAAAAACCTGTACAGATGTCACAGCAGGCAACAAGGGGTGGAGAGTTAAGTAACTCCTCCTCCCAGATTTACAAAAAAAATATAAAACAAAGACAGGAGAAAATATGACTGGGTATTTAAAACTATGCAAGTTGCTCTCTCTCCCTCCCTTGTTATTGGTGACCTGCTGTGCCACTTTGGTAACCTGTATTAGGACCTGTAAAAATTTGCTGTGGCTATGTGAAACCTCCGAGGAGGCACTAATCCCTGGTTTGTGAGGTGAGTTTAGAGTTACAGAGGCCGGGCAGGAAAGAGCCAAGAGCTCACTGGGAGAATATATAGGACCATCAGAGCAGGTTGAAGAGTCACATACGATCATTATGCATCTAATCCAAGTAACTTCATTTCCATCTTTGAAAACAGTCAACACGATTTGCCGAGTCAAGCACCCATACGTACCCTGGATTTGTCAGTAGATATGAATAGTTGTACTCTAGTTTTGTCATGGGGTAGGGTTAATACACGAAATATATTGTAGTGGATCATATGAAAATACTTAAATCAACATCCACTAATATGCTAATCTCTCGGGAAATTCATATGACGAAGGCACTTGGACAACACCTTACTTGGCTGAGTCAATGTTAATCTGGACCTGTCTCCTGTGAAAGAACCGCATTTGAAACTATCATTCACCGTTTCTATCATAACCTGGTCGTGGCAGAATCCTTATTACCTGCTCACATAAATAACAGTGTGAATGACAATATCTCTGAATTAAATTACAGTAAAACTATAAATACGTTTCTACTGCCTCGGCTGCTTCCTGCCCAGCTCGGGTATAACAACCTGATGAGCAACCTGATTGATTTGGTATGGGCTTTGATGAAGGATTTACTATTTGACTTATGGCTAAAATGGCAAGTGGCAAGTGGTCTTACTATCACACAAGTGTCCCAAGAGAACAATGGCACTAATACTCAAGGAACAAATATGTTGACACAGCTAAACGACTGCCAACCTACCAGAGATATTGGGTACGTTCATTATAGATACAGTGTTCAAACTCCAAAAAACACCGAGCACTTCCTGACTGGATGGCATAAGCTATCATCCAACTTTAATATTGTGCTAAGGATTTAGAGTAGTTTGGAGTCTGTCCATTCTATCTTTTTTTGGAGCATGGCTAATTTCCTAAGTTAAGCACAACTGTGTGGGGGATTGGGCAACAACTGGTGGGCTAGCACTATGCGTCACAACTAGCAGGGTGAAGGGCAAGTGTAACAGTGTGGGGCCAAGATGATCTGGGCTGCAACAAACTTCTTCACAAGCACTGATCAAAATTCCACTCTAAAGCTGATCACTTTTCAGATCTTACTGACATTCCATAAATGATCAAGACCTGTGTATGAGGCGTTGCATTACAAATCTTGGATAACAAAACAGAGGCAATGAACACTGATTAATGTAACAGGTGCAGAAAAACTCTATTAAACATTCCTTAGCATAATGCACTCACAATTTTTTAAGAAATGGAGATCTCAAAAAAATTGATATGTTAAAATCTGTACTATGGAAAGCATTGCACAACATAATAAGTGACCCGAATGAAATGATTAAAAACCAAATACCTTTTGATGCTTCAAAAAGACCTCCAATAGTGATTAACCTACATCAATGATCTACTGCACTAAGGACATGGATTGAAATTAAAGATAATTAAAACAAAATATACCAAAAAAAATTGAAATAAATATAACTTAATTCCATACTAAACAAACATTATAACTGAATTTACTCCATCTATACATAAATCCTTACCACATACTCCGCCTTAAACCTTTATCATAAGTACCAGACACCACACATAAGAAATCTTTAACATTACACATACACTAGTCACAATATACACAAATTGGCACAAAAAACCGGATACTCAACTGTATCCAAATTTTTAATAAATTACATACAGTATATGAAAAATAAAGAGGAATCACAAAAATAGTTTCCAACCAAATACTTATTTTTTTCAGAAATATCATATATTACTAGGATGGCAAGCATGACCATCTCTTTAAGCAGAGCCTTATTAAGTACATCATCACCATCATCACCATGATAATTCTCCAGTGAACAATACTGTCTTTCAGCTGTAGTAAGCAGGCAGTCTTTGACACTTGCTTAAACAGCCAAATATAACCCTGTGTTATTTAGTAGGGGGTTTTCAACCACCCATTTAAATAAGACAAACAAAAAATAAAAACAAACAAAGGATAATCTAAAATTTATACATCTATCACTTTCATTCTGAATTTCTAAAAACACATATTACTCTTCAAATCTCAATCTTGGCAATCTTCTCTACAGAAGCAAACACCGAGACAGGCAGGGCACTATCAGATTTCTCCTGAGTGACATCATACACCTGCTATGTTAATACCAAGAATAAAAAGAGAACACCTAAAACTTAAAGTAGTTGTTGCTCAAAGAGGTAGTCACACTCGCTGATATGGAAACAAGAGACACAGTGAGGGGGGGGCGGGAAGGGGGTTTGAGCAATGGGTAACACTGGGAAATGAGCGTCTCATGCAAAATCGCTGTACAATCCTTGTCCTCACTGATTGTTCATCACATTATACCATTCCATAATAATGTGGAATGTCTCCAGTTGAGAGAGCTTAATGTCAATACCTCCTTAACTCCAAAATGAAACAACAAGACCTGATAAAAGGAGGTATGCCTTCATCACTTACAAGTCCTGCACCACACTGCCATGCTTAACATCAGCAGCAAAAGGACTATATACATCTGTCATGGAAATGCTCACATAACTCTGCTCCTTCCAAATATTTTCACGAGACTGTATGAAAACTTAACATCTAAGCGTTATAGTGGATGTCAGCATAGTGATTTCAAATACCTAGGAATTATGGAACAGATTTAAATTCAATCAAGTACTTTGTAAACACATCATATGCAATATAATTTTGCCTCATTGATGATAAATTAACAAATAAATAATGCATAAATGGATTAATTGTATTGTTTGAAGAATATTTACAGTACAATCTAACTATTAATCTATGGTCTGCAAGTTTTCCTCTAACAGACTAGCCTGATAAAAAAAAATAATAATACAATACAATATATAACTTTTTTTTTTCATGCAAAATAGTACTCCAAAACAAGAGGGCACCTGTGTATTGTAATCTATTGGTATAAAACGTATAAATCATAAAAAAACCTCTTCCTCCACTGATGCAACTTTAAAATTATATGGATGTTGGTACACAAGGTCCTTGGTCTTGACAGCTTGCCTAATGTCTCTTGTTTACTAACTTTAATGCTCTATTAAACTTAATTCATCTTCCATAAATAATTCTTAAAACTTCGAATTTCTTAGACTAGGTTTCTAATTATGACTGATGCACACACACACACACAATGCACACACATGGATATTTGTCTTCTGCACAGTGGCACATAATAACCAGGGCAACAATATTCCATCTTCAAACTTCTTGAAATCCACATGCACCAACTACACATATACTGTACATATAAATTTACACTTGACACCTAATGAGTACCTGTACTATAAATTTTATCTAAAAAATTAAAAATAAATAAATAAAATCTAGTACAAATCACTTGCACAATACTGTCCTACACCAGTTCAGTAACATCCACTTTCTCCATCAATGAATCAAGGGCAGCACATTCTAACATTTAGTCTTTCAATAAATGATATACATACCTCAATACAGTACTCTCTTTAAATGATAGTTCATTTCTAACAGCTTAAGTGGTATCTGTATATTAGTTACACTTTTCCATTTTACCAAAAGAACTTTTGTTTCTCTGAGTATTTAAACAGGGTACTAAGTTTAAAAACATTTAATTCTCGATCCATTATTTTCTAATGATGAAATTTTGCTATACCAGTCAACATATCACACATTTGTCAAATTCTGAAAAACATTGTTTGCTGTAGATATGTGAAACTCAATGCCTTTAACACACAGTTGTGATAATTTGAAAGTGTGTCACATTCAGTGGCAGACTATGTCATCACTACTGTACTCAGATGACAAATAACATGCAGATACCTAACTGAAAAGGTAAGTTTTTTGGTTGTTGTTGTTTGCTCTTGCTAGCCTTTTCCTGCTATGTTGCAAGGCAGAATAAATTCACTCAATCATTCCAACCATTATAGTAGGTGTGATCTTATATGATGATCCCATTCTGTGCACTTGTATTTATACAAAGGGTATTTTTAGAAAAGAAGCAGACCAAAATCATTTGATTTCTACTAAACTACCATCTTCAAGTTATTCTTATTCCTCACATGGCTAATACTTCTCTGTACAACAGTTCAAGATTTTATCTTCCATAATTCTCTAACATCGTATCCTAGGACTGACATAAACTTGACAGAGGAATCAAAACTGTCACCAGCACTTGAAAAATCCACTTGCCCATTTGTATTCATGAGTGACATATGCATGAAAGGGCAAGTGTCTTTTCATAGGGTGGTCATCAACCAGGAAAGGTGTGAATATCATTCTGCTGAACAAAGTGTGTAAGATATCAACAACAACAAAGTTGACTCTTGAGTTTTTTCTCTAGCATTATTATATTTATTATATACAGTACTGTACCACTCACATGATATATATGTTATAATGTATAGGCCCCACCTACATCTCTTAATAACCCATACTAAACACCAAGATCAAAGTCCAGGAAGAAAATTACAATTATGAATTACCAAGCTTGCATAACAATTGGCTTTAAGAAAAATAAAAACTGAGCCCAGGTATTTATTATGATGTTGAAGTCTTAACCTGAGAAACCCGTTTCATGCTGCCTTACCACTGAATAACAACCCTAGATTTGAGACATTATCCATTCCATCACAGTTCACAATTCACCAGTAATAATTTTCCAAAAAATTCTTCAACCCGTAGACATGTGAACAATGAACTCTAGTCTTTGGTCAACCCAACAGTAAAATTCTTTTGCATTAATGGAGATTATGAAGCGATGATATATAATTATTTCCTAACACTAAATCTTTCACATTTATGAAGATTTTGAGGTAATTACATAAGTTATTTCCTAATATTAAATCTTCTGCATCACTGAAGATTCTGAGGTATCATGACATAAATGTTTCCTATGAATAAATCTTTTGTATCAATGAAGATTTTGAGGTAAAGACAATTACTTCCTATGAATAAATCTTTTGCATCAATGAAGATTTTGAGGTAATGATAATTGTTTCCTAAGATTAAATCTTTTGCATCAATGAAGATTTTGAGGTAATGACAATTACTTCCTATGAATAAATCTTTTGCATTAATGAAGATTTTGAGGTAAAGACAATTAATTCCTATGAATAAATCTTTTGCATCAATGAAGATTTTGAGGTAAAGACAATTACTTCCTATGAATAAATCTTTTGCATCAATGAAGATTTTGAGGTAATGATAATTGTTTCCTAAGATTAAATCTTTTATATCAATGAAGATTTTGAGGTAATGAAGGCCAACACTTTCTTAACATTAAAATAAAATTCCTATCAAATTACCTTAAAACAATATAAAAAAATTACCAAAGTGATTGTTTTTGAACAGCCAAGTAGCCTACAACACCCGTTAAAATTTCAAAAAGCCACTCGCTCTGTCATTCCACACACATACATACACATACATGCACTGTACTGTATCAAAGAAATCTTTCAAATTGTCTATCAGATGTATTCAGAACTACATGTAACCTTTCCTATATTCAGGGAACCACATGTAACATTTTCCTAAATGTTCCTCTATTGCTTAAGCTGAGTAATATTCAAAATCATGAGCCATTTCTTCTCTGTACCATCTGTGAACAATCTTCCTATTTGAAGGAACTGCTAATACCCCTATATACGTTATATATTTCTCACAAATTTAGTTGTTGATAGAAGGTGTAACAGAGACTACACGAGTTGGTTCAAAATGTGCTTGCCAGTCACTCGGGTACTGGCAAATCACAAAACTAAGGATAAACACGATATGTTTGCTAAAATATAATGATCATGTTATATAAAAATTTATCTTGGTGCCAATACTGTACAAAAATGCAAAGATGGTACATAGTGTGTTGTCAGAATTACTTATATTTTGTCCATGAACCATTAACCACCAAAAACGTGGTATGTTAGGATTAATCAACTATCATTTACAGTGATCTTGAAATATGGTATTACCATAACAAGCATAACATCACTACAAACATCACCAAAACCAAGAATTATTTCAAGAAGTATCACCAGCACCTGGTATCACTTTCAGAAACATCATCAACAGTTAATAATGTAGTCACAAAACTCTTCAAATGCCAAGAGTCATTAAAAAGAGCATCACTAGCAGTAAGTGTTACTACAAGTATCATCTCCACTGCTAATGTTACCAGAACCAGCAGTCGGTCACTATAACTAAACTCGCCAGCATTCATTTTCATTTGGAGTAATGTCACCAGCCTGGGGATTCAGTATGAGTAATAAAGGAATACTGTACAATACAAGAAAAGTTCTTACACGTGTCGTAATGAATAAATATGATTGATACTGTATAAGGAATCATTATAACATCTGCACTATCATACATACATTCATAGGACTTTATCACTTGGCTGCTTATCACAATTTGGTAAACAGTGAGTTGATTATCACTATGCTGAGTCATCCCCTATAGTGTAGAAGGAGCAGCGTTGTCTAGCTGGACTTTGAAAAAGAGCAACACTTGTGATGGGGATAAGCCCAGTAAACACTAACAACCACTTTCTTATTTTGTTGAGGTATTTCAAAAAATTGACAAACAACAGCTACCTCTATGGTAATACACGTGAACATACTGGTTAGGTATTGTCGTAGCCTTTGGAAGACATAGAAGTTATGAATTAGTGGCACAGTATCTTTGCACTCAAGAGATAATGTGATTTTCTACTTAGTTTGTACACATTGTTATATGCATATTCAAAACACTTCAAAATGCAGGTCTCCCTGTCATCACATCATCTCAAACTTGCACAATTGGAAGCGCAAGATCTTGATTGCCTGATGCTTCCGAAACAATAAGTGTTACTTATTTCCTGATCAACAGCTAAGGGAAGAAAAAATTTAAATTTTTGGCACAAATTAGGTACAGAGGAATTACAGGGTTAAAAGAATTCCCAAGTTACACTGGGAAAAAAGAGAGAGTTTCAATGTAAAGCATTTGTTTCAAGAATTTCATGTACTGCTAACTTCTCACACCTACAGTGAGAACAAGCTTTACATATATTTCTTGCAACTTCATCAATTACCCTATGCAAGTGGCGAAGATCCACATATTCCACACAGACACACTGGAAACTCTGACCATCCACTCACCAATGAACCAACACATTACCAATACTCAAGCGGGCCATAGTTCCTTGTATGCCATCCAAAGCTGTGACATTTAAGTAGTGACATTATCATTCTAACTTAGGCCTATACTGTAAATGTTGAGCACTTATGTTATTACTTTATGCCTGAGAATGAAAACTGAGGGCATTGCAAAGACTCTGCCAGCTCTTAAAAGCTGAATATCTAAATAAAATATGATCAGCCTCTTTGGAGAAAGATGTATTAGGTCAGCCATTAACAACGATACACATAATCCCTTCTAATACACTCAATTTTCTGACTTATGACACATAACAAGATATCAGTATACGAGGTTTAAGATGGCTGACCTAAATACGCTTATTGATATGTTTCTGCAGAGTCTAGAGCAGTAGGGCCCGACTCCTCCTGCCCCTGAACACATGCAGTAACGAGTGGACTGCTACTCGGACGTTGTGTCCTTAGCTCCCTGATCATTTTCATCATTCACATACTTCTCCATGGTGTAGTTGCGATTTCGCTTAAGCGGAGCCCCATGATGGGTCACCTGATGGCGTCGCAGGTACCACTTATTTTTGCACTTTTTGTGGCACAAGTCACACTCCACCCCCTCACCCTTGGTGTGAATATTGATAATGTGCTGTTTCAGATTGAATTTGTTGCTGAAGACGCGGTTACATATGGGACAGATGCCTGGCTGCCGGCTGTTCCAAAGCTTGGGAACGCATGCCCGCACCAGATATTCAGCGTCTGCAAGGGAAGAAGAAATGTCCTCTCAGTATGGCTGCCTCTGCGGACATCCCAGTCCACTTAGCTTACTTAGGGAATTACAGCTATTAGGGTTCTTTGACCAGGGAACGACAGGTGGACAAATGGATTTTTTTTAAGCTTAAACAACTGGGCTTTGTTCCAGTCAATATTCCATGCTTAATTTCATTCCTTACCATGAAATTTCTTATTTCTGCAATTACCTCCTGAAATTAATATTAATAATTTTTAACCAATCAGGTACTAGTCTTATTGATCTAATTTCATAGTCTAGTTAATCAACAGGTGATAAAGAATAAGGAGTCTACTCTACCTTCCAGGACATGAGTAGAGCATTGAAGAAACTGGTGAGTATCTATGAGTCTACAAGAACACTACTTGGAGAGGATCATGCTTAGCAGAGTGAGAGTTTTGACTACAAGCTACTTGTTACTCAAGGGTCACAAAAGGGAACCTGCTGTCATTTAGGACCATTTGTTAAAAACTCATCATGAGATCTATTTCTTTTTTACGTTTTACTATTATTATTATTATTATTATTATTATTATTATTATTATTATTATTATTATCATCATTATTAAGCATGGTACATGTGTTTTCAGGATCCCAACCTCAATATAACTTTGTCCATGTCCACCTGTTGTTGGATTCAATCTTAGTCAAAAGTTAATTACTGACAGGACATTTTTCCAATACTAATGCTTCGAATAAATTTTACAGTCATTGTACTACACTTTGTCTGAATCATCCATACATGACTCCTAAACTTCAACTGCAGAACATACTAGATTGATTTTGGAGGGGAATTCAGCACATGCGATCCATTTGTTTCTTAGTGAAGACCTCTTGAGGTTGGGCTGTCTCCATCTGGTGGGGAGTTGGAGTGAGTGCCAAGCCTAAGTCCTTTGTTAAGTCATTGGCAGGATGCTGGTTGGTCAAAGTTTTGCCAGACTTGGACTCGGCTGGGCCTTTGGAGCGTCGCAGGGGAGCACCGTGTGCAGTCACATGGTGTTTGCGTAAGTACCACTTGTTCTTGACCACCTTGTGGCACAACTCACACTCAATCCCCTCCCCTACTGTGTGCACGTTCACAATGTGTTGTTTCAGGTTAAACGAGTTACTGAAAGTTTTCCAGCAAAACGGACAGAGGCGGGGTTGCATGCAGCGCCACCTTTGGCGAGCGGGGGCATCTGGAACAGAGCAAAACATGGCATTAACCTGGGCCCTTAGTGTGCTGCTGCCAAATGCCCCCACTCAGCCAAGTGCTCACGGGTCTTTCTCATTATCATGTCAATGCTCTTCATTAAATCGTTTCATTTTACTGTGCCTCACATCATTGCTACAAACCTGACAATAAACTGACAAAAGATTGTGTTCTCTTGGTCCAACAAATTTGTTCTAGCTATATATGTATATACTGTGTGTGTGTGTGTGTGTGTGTGTGTGTGTGTGTGTGTGTGTGTGTGTGTGTGTCTGTGTGTGTGTGTGTGTGTGTGTGTGTGTTTTTTTTTTTTTTTTTTTTTTTGCTGCAATCCATACATTGGAAATATTCAATCTAATATCATTTACAACATTTTGTCAATGAGATAACTGGTCCCGTGACACAGGGGATGAAAGAAACAGAGTCAAAGAAGCTACTACTGTACGTACTTACAAAAAATAAACTTTACTGCACAGGCTTTTGTAACTTTTCAGTGAATAAGGTGAATCCATACTGTACAGTAATCAGTACACCATGTTTCGATCAATGTCTCTGACAAGTAAGTACAGTATTGCCAGGTTTAAAATTATGTAATGCTGCTTATGCTTATGCAGTTCAGTCTATAACAATGAAATATGAAGCCCCAGTTTTCAAACAAATCTACAAGAAATATCAACATCCACCTAAAAACTCTTACAGTTCAGATACAAAACAGATTCTACACATGCATAAATAAAGTTGATTTCAAAATACTTATGCCTTAAAATTTGTACATGAATTCATGAACAAAAAATTATACTGATAAGAGGAAAAAATTTTAATGTGCATAACACAACAACTGTATTCAAATGTTTCAACATCAGATAATATTGTACTGCAAAGTCTACTACAGGATCATCCTTATTTAAACATCTAATGCAAGATACACTAAGACTTGTGGCCATATGGCACACATCTTATGTACTGTATCAACGCTGAAAAGGAAACACCCTATACGTATTCAATATACAGTATGTATTTCCTGCATCAAAAATAAAATACAATATTGTATGATTTTGCCAGTATATATATATATATATATATATATATATATATATATATATATATATATATATATATATATATATATATATATATATATATATATATATATATATATATATATATATATATATATATATATATATACAGTGAACCCTCACTTTGCGCGGTCAATTGAACCCACGGAGGCCCGCGTAAAGTGAACAACATAACATATGGGATTAAATGAAATAGAGACCGGCTGACCCCCAAACTCCACTTTTTCCGACACAATACCTATGTTCTAGTAAAAATAACATCTTAATTTTATGATGGTACATGCACACAATTAATACTTAAGAGAAATAGAGAAATACAGTCGCCAAGTTAATGTCCATTCAAATAATGGACTCAACTCCCTCCCCCTCTTCTCACACTACACTTGCTGGCTCTTCCCTCTCTGAGAAATGTTTGGGGGAAAACCACTAGATTTTAAGGTATAGTAATAAATAATACCTCAAACTAAAGTTAGGATAATATAATTGACATTGCTGGATTCCTTGTAAGACCAGAAATATTTTGAATATAAATGTCATATATTTTGCACAAAAGATAACATATTTACTCAGAGTAAACAAAATACTTAAAGTAGATCTAAAATTTGTATGTCTAATGCAAAATCTATGATGTTTATATTCAAAATGATCATCAAATTGTAAGAATTCCAGCAATGTAAATTATATTCTGGCCGGGTAATTTGTATGAATTTTATGAGCTAAAACAAATATCTTCAGTTAATAAAAAAAAAAATATTCTTCACAACACTATCTGTCAATCAAAGTACCCCACCTTGCCTCCCCCTCTCTTCCAACCGTGCGGTCAGTCCCAACCCTCCCCCCACCCCCCACCAATCCTCCCTTCAAGAGAAAGGTTGGGTGAAAAAAATAAATTTTAACATTTTGTATTAAATAATACCTCAGATTAAAGTTAGGATAATATAATTGACATTGCTGGATTCCTTGTAAGACCAGGAATATTTTGAATATAAATGTCATATATTTTGCACAAAAGATAACATATTTACTCAGAGTAAACAAAATACTTACATTAGATCTAAAATTTGTATGTCTATTGCAAAATCTATGATGATTATATTCAAAATGATCATCAAATTGTAAGAATTCCAGCAATGTAAATTATATTCTGGCCCAGTAATTTGTATGAATTTTATGAGCTAAAACAAATATCTTCAATAAATAAACAAAATATACTTACCAAAATACTATCTGTCAATCAAAATACCCCACCTTCCCCCCTCCTCCCACCTGCTCCCTGGGTCCCTCCCTCCCTCCCTACCCCTCACCCCCACCTTCCCTCCCTACCAGAGAAATGATTGGGTTATAACAGTATATTTACATTTTTAGTAATAAATAATACCTCAGACTAAAGTTAGGATAATATAATTGACATTGCTGGATTCCTTGCAAGTCCAGGAATATTTTGAATATACACTTCATATATTTTGCACAAAAGATAACATATTTGCTCTGAGTAAACAAAATACTTGCATTAGATCTAAAATTTGTATGTCTAATGCAAAATCTATGATGCTTATATTGAAAATGATCACCAAATTGAAAAAATTCCAGCAATGTAAATTATATTCTGGCCGGATAATTTGTATGAATTTTATGAGCTAAATAATAAAATTATACTTCACCCGCGTATATGAGTAGATGCACCACGAAAAGTGGGAATTCCGGTTCTGGCAGGGTACCGCGCAAATGTAGAAACGCGTAAAGTGAAACCGCGTAAAGCGAGGGTTCACTGGCAGCAATGTAATGTATGTGTGGCAATGGCATGTGTGTATGTATATATATATATATATATATATATATATATATATATATATATATATATATATATATATATATATATATATATATATATATATATATATATATATATATATATATATATATATATATAATAACAACATATGCTCACTGCTATACTAATATATATATATATATATATATATATATATATATATATATATATATATATATATATATATATATATATATATATATATATATATATATATATATATATATATATATATATATATATATATATATATATATATATATATATATATATATATATATATACAGTGGCCCCTCGGTTAACGAACTCAATCCGTTCCAGAAGGTCGTTCGTTAACCGAAACGTTCGTTAACCGAAACCATTGTTTCAATGGGTTTTTGGGTAATTGGTTCCAGCTCACCGAAAATTTCCTAACTTCAACAAAAATGGCGGAAAAATTTACTTACTTTGAGGTGTGTATGTAGAAGGCTCCTGGATGATGATGATGATGATGATGGGATTTAGAATGGGGGTGGAGGAGAAGGAAGAAGAGAAGGCATTGGGGTGGAAGAGAAGTCACCCCATGGTGCCATTTCACCCATAAAATTTTAGCTCTCTGGTTTAATTCAAGATTATTTTCTTTAAATCAACGCTGCACTGCATTATATATTGTCAATATATAAAATATATTTCAAAATGACCAATAATTTGCTTGGAAACACAGAAAAAAAGCGTTTAGTTGAAGAGAGTCTCAAGCAAGATGTTACCTCCAGTGAAAACAAAGAGAGACTGACGCCTGTTTGCTGTATTAAGAGGCTGGATGCCGCGCATTAAACTTGTCATTTTACCTTCAATTTTGTTCAATAATTGTTAAAATGACTAAAAAATTTA